CGTCACTTGCGTCTTTGGGCTCTGCTGCCTTTCTGCTTGCTGCACGCAGTGCATTCTTTGATCTCACTTTGACATCAGTAATAGGAGAGTAATCAAGGTTTAGAGTCTTAGTGTCTTATGTCACACATTTATTAAAGAGAGATCAGAAGGAGAGGGGAAATAACCCATTCCTTGCAAACCTGTTCAGTTTTAAAAGTACAGGAGCTCGTGAAAGATAATGTTTGTTGCATTTGAAGTGCCTTTGCATGGCAGATAAAACTTTAAAACTTGGCGACAATGAGGTGAGATTACAGACCCACACCAGGAAAGCTGGTGATGACATGCGCTGTATCTGAAATTATTTGTGTCAGTTCAGGCAGTGCATCAATTCCCCTGGTTGGGTAGCTACTGAAAATCTTTTGCCATAAAAAGAGTGAGAGACAGTCCGTGTATTAATAAGGATTCCTTCAGCCGCATATGGCAGAAACCCAATTCACACTGCTTTGAAGTGAAAGGGGGCATCTATTGTCTTGTGCGTCTGAAGAGCCTGGGGTGGTGCAGATACAGCAGATCCAGGGCCTCCGAGCTGAGTCAGGGGTCATCTCCTCCCTCGTTCTCTGCTCTCCTCTGGGTGACCACTCTGCGGCACTATCTTTCCATAGGTTGGAAAGGCTTCCATCCTCTCCCCTTAGGGACAAAGAGTGCCTTTTCCTCGGTAGTTCCAGGCAGAGTTTCAGGGCTGATTCTCCCTGGATCCCCTTGGGTCACTTGACCTTAGCTATACCAGTCACCGTGGCCATGGGATGGGATATGCCTCCTGACCGAGCCTAGGTCATGTGCCCACCCTGCGGCTCAGAGTGGGCTGGGTCCAGCTCTACCGCAGACCCATGGTCTGAAAGGGAAGTTTGATTCTCCAAAGGCAAATCCACCTTGCTGATTCCAGAAACAGAGGGAACAAATGCCAGGCAGACAGAAACAGCAGACGGAAATCATGAGTCTAACGACCCTTGCTACTCTAGGTAGAAATCTTTTAGACCCAAGCAGATTTCCAAGCTGCTCATTTGGCTATATGGGAAGAGATAAACAAAACACAAAGGCAGTGAGTAGGCAGGGCTTGGGGGTGGGTGGGACGGGGGGAGCTCAAAACTGTTTATTAAAGGAAAGTATGATTAACTCCTCTTCTAAGTCATGGCCCCTTCAGTTCATCTCCACTGCTTGTCCCCTGAGCCTTTTTTTTTGTCTATCGTGTAACAGATAATTACTGCCTTTTCTATGAAACGATTACTGGAAGGAAAGACAATAGAATCAGAACACAGTAGAAGAGGATCTGACATTTGTTGTTAGTCTTCTTTTTCTTTCTTTTTTTTGTCTCTGTGCTTGTCCTTGGAAGCATCCCCAACAGCTATAGAGCTGCCCTTGGAATTTACCGCCCCAGTGGATCATGCATAATTCTTCTCAAAGGGGTTCTTCAGGGACTTCTAAAAAATAATCATTATCATTAATCTTCATGACCTCAGGGTAGGGGGGGGGAGGTGAGTGGCAGAAATCTGTCCCCCTTGGAAGAAGCCAAGTCCCAGAAAGCAACTTGCTTTTGCAAAGTTGTTTTTGTGCTAAAACAGCAGTTTGGAATTGAGGTGCATCCAAGGAGCTTAGCTTAAGGAACTGATGCTTTTGCTCTGTTTCAATACTTGAACTCCCTGCCGTAGCTGAGAACTTCACTTTTCCATCCCACCCCAGGGCTCTGGCCACCTGCTGTATGATGAGCAAAGTTTTTCAGCTGGAAATGTTACCATCTATTTAAAACAATGGATGCAGGAGCCAATGGATCATAGCACTGTTCAGCTTCCTGCTTGTCTTATATAAAATTGCTTAAACTCCATCAGAATTTATGTCTACTTCTATGACTGCCCAGCAAAGGATGAATCCATATATTTTAACAGTGCAACGGTGAAGTCCCAGCTGAGTCTCTTACATACCAGAATCCTTTTGCTTCATTTAGTAAGTATAGCCACATGTGTGTTTATCATTTTTTAGAGAGGAAGAGAAAGTCGTACATGTAGTCTTGAGAGTACATTTCTCCTTAGTTCTGTATTGATTTGTTCTCTTGGTCATCTGTTCAGAAATACTTCCATTACCTTTGGGAAATTGCAAGGATGATTACTGCAAATGTTGCCCTTTTTTCATTAAAAATAGCTCCTGTGGTTTTTCTTACAAAAGCAAGACTTATGCTTATTGAATAAGAAAACAGATAAGCAAAAAGAATAAAAATTAACTTTCTGGACTTCTCTCTGCTTCTGTCCATCTCTGTGTATATTGTTAATTTCCAAAAGTGGCATCGCACTGTGTATTATTTGCAACTGTGGTCAAGGTAATTTCATTTTGTTTGGCTGCAGGTGGGCATGGAAGTGGCCCCACATCTCAAAGAAAGCCTAAATAAGAACTTTTTTGACTTCCTCCTTACATTCAAACAGGTAAGAGAATACTGTCAGAACAGCTAATTGGTATCATAGTCACACGATCACAAATTTCATGAAACTCAGTTGGTTTTCCAAGTCAAGATTGCCTTGAAGCTCTTTAAATGTGTAAACTGTAGAAAATGACACTCACGTCTGTTACAGACAATTAAAATGTGTTGATTGTACTGAACAAGCAGAGAGAATTAATATGCATGTGTTAATAGGAAGCGTCTCCTGTTGATCAGCCTTTCTTCCTAGCATCTGCTGGCTCCCTTTTTATCAGGTTACTTCTCTGCACAGCACACATTCCCAAAGCACCTCAGCTCGGAGACGTGGGAAACTTCCTGTATGTCTTTCTAGTTTAAAAAAACCCAAGAAACCGGGCTGTTTCTCTCGGGGCCATCCAAATGCTTGCGGGTATGCACAGTCTGAGTTACATGCTCTTCGTTTATTATGTGACTTCCCTCCTTTTCTAAGTGTTTATTTGGTCTCCTGTAGATTCACGGGGATACGGTTCAGAACCAGCTGGTGGTCCAGGGAGTGGAGCTTCCATCCTACCTCCCCTTGTACTCGCCTGCCATGGACTGGATCTTCCAGTGCATTTCCTACCGCGCCCCCGAGGTAACTGCCAGGTGGCTTCAGTGTGGAGTTCGCACCGAGGATGGATGCCGGGGCCCCTCTCTCTCCCATGTCGTAACGGCCCCTACACCTGGGTGCCCTGTACCACAGTCAGGGCCCTTTGTAGCGGCTCACCATTGTGGCTGGTTCTGTGCTCGGCACTTTTCCTCCAGTGCCTTGTTTGGCCCTGGGAGGGAGATGCGGGGGCTCAGGGAGGCCAAACACCTACACCAGGTCACACAACGAGTAAGTGGTGGCGCCTGGATGGAGACTCACCGAACTGACTCCAGGGTCAGCGCGCTTCATTGCCTCTTCACTAAGCTTCATGTTTTAACCTTCCTTTTGTGTTTATAATAAGTTAATAAAATCAGCAGGTAATGTTTTTTTTCCATTTTACAGAAGGAAAGTGAAACTTACATGTAATTGCTTTTATAAAAATTTCTTTCTTTTTTGTCTAACTGAAGCATTGTCAGGAATTAAAGTCAGAATCACAGCAGAAATACTCTTTCTCTTCCCTCAGAGAAGCAGTTTGGGTAGGACACCAGTTCATCTTGTCATAATAAGTGTGATAGGTGAAGCTTCTACTGTCTTCTCATTGATGGTTGAGAATTTATTCTATGTGTGAGGGAAAAATAGGTCTTGCTACAAAATAAGGACACCTAGACCGAAGCAAAATTCAAATACAGCTGCCTTTTCCCAGAATCTGCAAACACATTCTGACAACTCTAAAGAAAAAGAAAGAAAATAGGACTTTGATTAAATGTGTATAGGTGTGTTCATGCTAGTGCAACACTGGGGACAGCCATCAGAAGGGGATTGGTTGAACTATGGTATATGTAGTCAATGGAATGTCATGGGGCCATTGAAAATGATGGAGACCCACGATGAAGTACGTGCTGACGTCAGGGTGCTCACAGTACTTGGCCAAGTGAAAAAAGGAGGTTACATGCACTACTGTGTGTGTCCTAAGTGGTGGTGTGGCCTGGAGTTCAAGTGTGAGCCCTGGAGTTGAGCTGCCTGGGTCTGAATCTCAGCTCTGTTGGTTACTGCTGTCGGGATAAAGCAGAGGTCAAGTGGCTTTGTCTCTAACCACTCTGCACTTTTTTCTTCACCTGTGAAATGGGACCAGTAATAATTCCTGTCTTCCAGTCCATTGCGTGGATCAGACGAGACAGTCCATTTACGCTGCCTAATTGGCTGCTCCCCATCACCCCTGCAGTGCTTGAATGTTGCGTCATCAGGATTGCAAATGTGATTCTTCTGTCTGCACGAGAGAATTGGGAAGGAGATATGACAAAGTACCACTGAAGGATGAGATTTTGGATCCTCTTATTTTTCTTGGCCCATCTGTGTTTTCTAACTTTTCAACAAGTATAATGCATTGCTTATATTTTGATTTTTTTCCAAATCCTGAAATATGAGGAGAAGAATAGGGATGTCTTGTATTTCAGGTGCATTTTTTTTACCATTGAGTAAATTGATTTTAAATCAAGCCAGTATAAACAGAAGATTCTTTCTTTGAGAATTTGCTGGCCATTCTCTGTGATCTTCAGGATAGTCTTGTCCACCACACCCTGACCCACGTTCCTGGGAGGAGATACCACGAACTTGAACGATTCAGCTGAATAACTGAAACACAGGAGCAGGACCTGACGCATTTGAAAATGAGAACACTTATTTTTTTTCCCCCTTGTTTTAATGAAAAACAAAATTGGACTAAAAACAAAAGGTACATGTCATAGGGCGTTCTGCCTTTTATTTTGAGCACCAGTAATCTCAAAGGATGGCAGGAGCTGGGAAGAGAGCTTTCCTGGGGAGTAAAACTCTAGGAAATCATTATTGCACTAGAAGAAGTGATTAAAAAAATTAGGTCACCTGAATAATAATAAACTCTGATTCTTGGGGCACTTAAATAAGGAACTTGCAGTGTCTCATAAAAATCATTTTCAAAATGTAGAAGAATTGATGTCAGCGTGGAGGGTGGTGTTGAAAGTGTATGTGATAATATGATGCATAAAAGCTCTTTGACAGTGGCTGGGTTGTGTCCACTGGGGAGTTGGAGCCGTGTGTGTCTAAGAGGCCACACCTGCAGAGTAGTGGATTGTCGAGTTTGGCTGCATCAGTTGGCAATACATGGGACAGGTAGGTGAGACAGAAAGAGAGAACTGTCTAGGTGGAAGAAAGGAGAAATGTTTTCAGCTGCAAATACTTGACATATGAAATTTCAAGTCGAGACTGAAACCCAAAATCCTCTCCCCCGCAAAATTATGGAGTGATTATTCAAAAAGATTTTTTTTTGTTGTTTGAAGACAACATTTTCCCCCCTTCATACAATTAAAATTGTAGTAAGTAAACACCATTTATTCCCTCAATTTTAAGCATGTTCTGCAGAGGGAAAAATCACCTGTTTCATAAAACCTGCTTTTGGACAGTTAAAAACAAATCCTTCGATAAACTTCTGATTGTTTTCTGCAGCTTTTTGTCTTGCTGGTTTGGAATTGCATGTTCTCTTGCTAAGCTGTACGATGTAGCTTGTCACTGTCGAAGGAGGGAAGAGGAAAGTGGTAGAGGTGGGGCAGGTAGTTGGGCAGACCTGGGTTCAAACTGTGGCTGTGTTGCCCTGGGCTGCTTGACCTTTTTGTGCCCCAGTATGATGAACTGCAAAATGGGGCTAATAACAGAACCTTCCTTCCTCAAAGGGCTTTTATGAGATGACTGTGATGATGTGCATCAGTGCACGGCCAAGAGCTGGTGCATGGCAGGCACTAGGCAAATGGGGGTGGTTACCATCATTATCTTCGGTCTGAATGGCAGATAGGGGCCTGGACTGACTTGAAGGCCAGGGGGTGAGTTGGGGATGGTGTGGGGGCAGTAAAGGAGGGGCCGAGGGAAGGGACCTGTGCAAGCAGACAGGTAAGGGGCATGATGAGGAGAGAGCATCACTGGAGAAGAGTGAGAAACTAGGCTGACTGGGAGGGGGCCAGGCTGCACAGGTTGTGGAACATCATGTTGTGGAGACCAGGCAGCTCTTAAAGATTTTTGATCAGGGGAATGATTTGAAAAAAGCGGTTCTGTACAGCAGAAATTGATACAAGAAATTGACACATTGTAACTGACTATACTTCAATTAAAAAAAAAAAGAAAAAGAAGAAAAAAGCAGTGCTTGAAGATCAGACTGGCAGAAGCATACCAGATGGATTAGAGGAGACCCGGTTGGTAGCCGTGGAAAACACAAGAGGCAAAATGGATAGAGAATTTTCATAGTTGGAAAACATTTATTAATAAAAATACACATTCATTGGAGAGAATTTGGAAAGGATAAAAAGGTTAAAAGGAGACAAATAGCCACTTAAACCCCTGTCATGAACATCTGGTCAGTGTTAACATTTTGGTGCATTTCCTTTTTAACATTTCTCTCTCCACTTTCACTCTTGCTCTGTCGTGGTGTTTTGTAGATGGGAAATTTTTCCTGTATGATTTTATGATGCTTTTCATTCACTTAAAGTTATAACAAATACCCTTTGTTAGGAATGTTTTGTGACCTTTGGTCCTTTCAGGAAGCGTTTAGAAGGCAGGGTGTGGGTTGGTCGTGAAGAGTGGAGCAGAGAAGGTGGATCAGGGATGCTGCGAAAAGCTTTTGAGCTCCTAACCCAGCCACCTCTTTCTGAGGCTCCCTCGGCCGTGGGCTGCACAGGCACCCCTCGTTTTATTGCACTTTGCTTTATTGTGCTTCACAGGTTGTGCATTTTTTTACACATTGAAGTTCCGTGGCAACCCTGCATCCAGCAAGTCTGTTGGTGCCATTTTTCCAACAGTATTTGCTCACTTCCTGTCTTTGTGTCACATTTTTGGTACTTCTCACAGTATTTCATATTTTTTCATTATTGTATGTTATGGTGATCTGTGATCAGTGATCTTTGATGTTACTATTGCAAAAAAAATTAGGACTCACTGAAGGCTCAGCTGATGGTTAGCATTTTTAGCAATAAGATATTTTTAAATTAAAATACGTATGCTTTTTTAGACATAATGCCATTGCACTTTAATGGACGACAGTATAGTGCAAACATAACTTTTATATGTGCTGAGAACCAAAAAAATACACGTGACTTGCTTTATTGAGATAACTCGCTTTATTGCAGTGGTCTGGAACCAAACCCTCAGTGTCTCTGAGGTCTGCCCGTGTTACTTACTTTACCTGGGCTACCTTAATTCACTCTCAAAGCCTCCCCCAGCCTAGGTGTTGCTCTTATCCCCATCTTATAGGTGAGGCACCTCACCTAAGACGAAGCTTACAAACTTGCTAGTGTCAGTTAGAAAGAAGTCATGTAGCCATTTTGGCAGTGACGCTGAAACCGGCAGATCTGTCCACTTAACTTCTCTGGACGCTTTCTTTCTAGGTATCACCTGTTAACCACAGCACTTGAGGTGGGACTTAAAGTCCCTAACAGATTGACCCATGGGGCTATTACTCCAATGATTGTACTATCAGTTGCCCTTTAAACCTTCTAAAATATGATTAGGCTAAGAATGCAAATCTAAGACGAGCCTTGGCCATTGATAGATCCCTCTCAAAGGTGGTTTATTTTCATTCTTTTGGATTGGGGAAAAATCCCCAGTGAAAGAAATGATGAGGAAAATTAAGAATTTCTCCTTTCTAATGCCTGGGGTATAGCATTTCTTTTTATTCACAAGGAAATATTTTATTTCTTTGAGACTTGAGCTGCGTTAGCTCTGGACCGGGGGAAAGGCTCCCACTTCTCAGAAGAGAGATTAATAACCTCTAACAGACCTTCCTGGGACCCATAACATTTGGGCACTTAAGGATGTTCCTATGGTCCTGTGTGACGATGGAGCCTTTTGTTGTTGTTACATTCTTCGATGCATTTTCAATGCATTCATCTCCTGTGAAAAAGAGAGCACTTAAGATTAGTTTGTGATTTTGCCCACCATTTACATGTTTGCTTCATCTAGAAAAATTAGAAAGAGAATGTGATAAGCATATTATTTGGTTCACCTTTTTCATGGAGCAATAACTCTCAACACTGGTTGGGAGGCTGTTTAGTCAAAGCAGAAGTGCACATCTGTGGGCACTCTGGGCTGCGTATGAGTTAATCTCAGTTTAGAAATCAGAAACGTGGTGTTGACCCAACCTCTTTTCTTTTCCCATGCTTTTGAAGTGGGTAAATAACCCTAACTGGAGAAAACCTTAAAAATCCAGTATCCAGTAGTTAAATATGATGGTTCCTGTGCAAATTCAAATATGCTAATGAAGTGTCACAAAGATATACTCTTTCCCCTAAAAAAATAAAGGTGCATGAAAATCCTGGTGAAATAGTCTAGTTGTTTATATCATACCAGTGTCATTTTCCTGACTTTGACAATGTGCTGTGTTTATGAAGATGTCACCACTGGGGGAAGCTGGGTGATGAGGACACAACACCTCTACTCTTTTTGCAATTTCTTATGCGTCTGTAATTGGCTTGAAATAAAATATTTTAAAAACGTCATCCGTTGGGAGCAGTTGGAACAATAATGTTATATCCATGGTGTGGATTCCTCAGCCATTAAAAAGAATGAGGGAGATTTGTGTGGACTAACACAGGAGGAGGGAGGCCCATGCTAGATTCTTAAGTGAAAAAGACAAGTTGCAGCTCAAGATGTGTAAGACGATCCATTTTTCTAAAACAAAAGTCTTCTACAACAAAAGCTATACATTCACAAGGCATAGACTAAGGTCTAGAAAGATAAACACCAGAATGTTGACATTGGTAATCCCTAGGAAGTAGGAGTTGGAAGGGAGGGCATTCATATTTTACTCGATGCATGACAGTATTGTTTGAGCTTTTGTCCATAAGCATTTCTTATTTCTATAATTTTTGTAAAATATAATAAACAAATGAAATACAGGGGCCTAATGAATCTTCCAAGTTCTGATGTGTGTCTGTAAACATATTCTGAGCTGCAAGTTTTTCAGTGGTTTATCTCAGCCAGTAGGCTTGTCTCAATCTCACTCTGATTTGAACTGTTGTTCGTCTTGTTCCTGCCAAAGGTAATCAATCGTGTCACTTCTCAGAAGGAAAAAAAATTAGTAACCTCTAACAGACCTTCCTGGGATCCATAACATTTGGCTCTTTGGCTCCCTGGACACTTGAGGGTCTCCCTTTGGTCCTGTATGACTATATGGAGCCCTTTGTTTTTAAAGTTATATTCTTGGATGCATTAATGCATTCATCTCCTGTGAAAAAGAGAATTTTTAAAACATTTGTCTTGTCTTAATGGCCAGAATGTTAGCATTTTGTCCACATGTTAGCATTTGCCATAGTTTGTCTTTTCAGAAGTGGTGAGCCAAGACGTCTCATTCATTTGTGGTGTGGGCACGTGTACACGCATGTGCGTATGTACACACGCACGTGCATGTGTGCGTGCATGTGAGAATAAGCCACCCACGGGTGTGGATTTCAGTCTGTCAGTGCCCTGTTCCCAGTGCCTGGGAGAGTGGCCAGTACATGAAGGTTGCTTCATAGGTGGGTGTTGAATGAGTGATTATTGCATGTGTTAAGGAGTATCAATGTGGAAATTATCAAAATATCTCTTTCCCAGCCTTCCCAGAAACCACTTTGATATTGGTCTTCAAGAATGACTTTTCAAATATGAAATACCCCGTGAGTGGGTTAGGGAAGCCGTTTGTGACAACGTCAATTTTATCCTCAGCTGGGATGCTCTGGCCGCAAGAAACAAACGCCTAACTGGCCCTACAAAAATAATTCAGTGTGTTCTCTTGAATACTGAGTGAAGGCTCTGGGCCAGGCAGGTTCTGTTCTTCTCTCTGCTCTGCCATCCCCAGGTAGCAGCAAAGTGACTGCAGTCATTCCAGGCATCGCGTTCAGACATGGCCACATCCAGAGGCAGAAAGATGGGGAGTCTTCAGTTCCTTTGGTTCCTGTTTAAGAGCAAGGAAACTTTTCCTCTAAACCCCCATCTCAGTAGCAAGAAATGGGTCACGTGCCCCTGTCCAAACCCACCGCTGGCAAGAGGCGTGAGACCAGTGTGACTGGTTTGGACCTGTATTAGTTTGCTTAGTATGTTCGGGCAGCTGTAATAAAACACCACAAACTGGGTGACTTACAGAGAACAGAAATTTATTTCTCATGGTTCTGGAGGCTGGGAAGTTCAAGATCAAGACGCTGGCAGATACAGTGTCTGGTGAGGGCCCTTCCTGGTCCTTCCTGTCTTCTTGCTGTGTCCTCACATGGCAGAAGGGACAAGGGAGCTTTCTTGGGCCACTTTTGTGAGGGTACTAATTCTAGTCATGAGGGCTCCACTCTTAAAACCTAATCACCGCCCAAAGGCTCCAGCTCCTAATACCATCAATTTGGGGGTGGGTGGCCATTTAGGCCACAGCAGGCTTGCATATTAGACTGGGGGGGCTTCAACAACAGAAATTTATCTTCTCACAGTTTTGGAGGCTGGGAAGTCCAAGATCAGGGTGCCAGCAGGGTTGGTTTCTGCTGAGGCCTTTCTCCTTGCCTTGCAGACCACTGTCTTCTCACTGTGTCCTCCCCTGTCCCCTCACCTGTGCATGTGTGTTCCTGGTGTCTCTTCCTCTTCTTATAAGAACATCTGGACATCCTTCCTATTGGATTGGGGCCTCACTCATGATTTCATTTAACATTCATTACCTCTGTGAAAGTCCTGTCTCCAAACACAGTCACTTGGGGGGTTAGGACTTCAACATGCATTTTGAGGGGGACATAATTCACTCCGTAATAGGACCCAACCTGATTTTCGTTGGGCAGAGACAGAAACCTGAATAAAATCAGGGTTCTAGGGGTGGGGGTACTGCCAGTTATGTCCACAGTCAGCTATCTATCACCTGAATTATTCAGGCAACACCCAGGACACAGCTGGAAAGGGTGGGATTGCAGTAGAGAAGACTAGCTTTATTTTTTGACTTCCAGGCCAGACTTAGATCCGAATCTCATTTCTACCACTGAGTAGGAAGTGGCTTAACCTAGCTAAGTTTTGGCCTCCTCGTTTGTAAAGTGGGGTTAATTTACATGGGCCTCGAAGGCCATTGTGACAAGTAAATGGGAAAAGGTGTGTACAGCGCTTAGCCCAGGGCCCAGTGTGTGGTGCCCGGCACGTGCTCAGCGTCCAGGCCGCTGTATTAGCTCTTTTGTCTTGGGACTGACCTTGTCTGTGCCATTCAATTCCTTCCTCAAACCACTGCCCTATAGGTTGCTTCTTCCATTGATTTTTTTGAAAAACAGGAGCTCTTTTAAAGATACGTAATCGTCTTAAGATAGCTCTGAAGCCATTAATAGCATTCCAGTGAATAGAACATTTACTTCCTTTGGGGGGAAAAATATGCTTCAAAATGCAGAGAGGAAATGTAGTGAGGAGCACGGCCTTTGAAGCCAGACCGCCCGGGCCACGTCCAGCCCACCAGAACTAGCCGCGTCACCTTGGCCTGAGCACATCGCTCTTCTGTGGCTTGGTTTCTCATCTGTGAAATGGGAGGGTAGAGAGCCTGCCTTGTGGTGCTTGTGAGAAGTGACATCATGAATGCCAAGTGCTTCTCACCGGGACTGGCCAGCACCAAGTATTGCCCGGTGTTTATTTGTTTTGCTGAGAATTCCACAGGCACCTGGTGAGTGGGGAGGAACATGGGGGTCCAGGTGAGGTGGAGAGTAAAGCAATTTTCATTCTCACTGGTGCCCTAAAGCACAGGAGGTACCACTCTCATCATCCTGCAGAAATCTGTATCATCTGCCACCTGTATCATCTGCCTAAGGATGAGGGAATGTAGCTGGTGAGACTAGATATGAACCCAAGTGTGCCTGAGGCCAGGGCCCCAGCTCTTACCCATGGCACTCAGTGCCCCAAGACTGAATCTTTTTTCTCCTCCATCCTTTCCATACCTGCTGGGCATTGAGAGTTCTAGAAATGGGCATGTAGCTGCATTTTTTAAAGTATTACTTTGGAAATCTATTGGTGAGAAATATGCTTTTGTTCCTCCAATTTGATAATTTTTCTTCTTATTTTTTAATTAGGCTCTGCTAACCGAGATGATGGAGAGATGTAAGAAACTAGGAAACAAGTAAGTATTTTGAAATTCAGAAAGCTGGAGTTTGAAAATGGAGTTGGTTGGGTTTTTTGAGCATGGTATGCCTGCATGGGCAAGAGGGCCAACAGGGAAGCAGGGTAGCATGGAGGTCAGGAGTGCTGGAGTCCAGTTGCCTGGCTTCGGATCTGGGCTCCACTCTTTCTTAGCTTTCTGACCTTGGGTCACTATGACTGCTCTGTGCCTCAGTCTCCTCATCTGTCAAATGGGTATAGTAATAATAATTCTTTCTGTATTGGGCTGTGATAAGTGGTAAGGTCAGGATAAACTCAAATTCCTATTTTCTAGGCACATGAAGTTTCTCTTCTCTCCTTTCAGTGGCAGATGTGTGAGAAGCCTGGAGTGGGTTTTGTTCACCACTGTGTCCCTAGGTTTGAACAGTGCTTTTCATAAGAGATGCAGATATGTATTTGCAGCTTGGATTAACATTGTTACTTAATGTTCAGTTTTATTAGTGGTCCAGCCTATTGAAGGCTCAGTTTTCTTCTGTTTAAGTGGATTTGATTACTTTCTTATTTACCTGTTCATCCATTGATCCAGCCGCCCACCCATCCATCCACCCATTCTTCCAAACAGCTGAATATTTATCAAGTTCCAAATATGCACAAAACACCATATTAATCTCTAGAGGCTGCCTTTTTACTCCAGTCTTTTTTCCCCCCTAACCTTACCACTAAAGGGCTGTCAGCCATCTTTCCCCACAACATACATCCTAAAATTAAAGCGACTTTCATTAAGGCGAAGCTCTGCTGACATGGGGGCATGTGTGTCTTGCAGTGCCTTGCTGCTGAATTCCGTGATGTCAGCTTTCCGGGCCGAGTTCATCGCCACAAGGTCCATGGATTTCATTGGCATGATTAAAGAGTGCGATGAGTCCGGTTTCCCCAAGGTAGGCTCTCGACTAAATGCTCAGCAGAGAACAAATAGGCAGTGTTTGCCCGATAGCTCTCGAGGGAGACAGAGTCCGGTGTCGGGGCAGCTCGGGCCCAACGGGAAAACAAACGAAGGCTGTGTTTCTGAAGAGCACAGGGGAAGATGAGTTAGCGATTGGGACCGTGAGACATGTGTGATTGCTGTGAGTCGGGCCTCCATGAGTCCTAAACTTATCCAGTTAGCTCACTGTGAAGTACTTAGGAAAACTTTGGTCTTACATCTTTAAAACGGTATCTTCACTCATTATTTATGAAAAGCTTTGTCCAGCAGGATATTATGGCTCACAGACTGGACCAGTACACAGAGCCAGCTCTTTGTTTTGAGCTCCTCGGTCTAACTTGCATGTGTCTGTGATAGAACTTCAGAGAGAGGTCGTTGGAGGATTAACTGTGAGACGGGCCGACTGTTGCAGCCTTTTCCTTTGTGCCTCAAGTGACTGATTTAAAATCTCCAGGGTTGTAATGGTTTGCTGTATTTTTCAGCATCTCCTTTTCCGTTCGCTGGGGTTAAACTTGGCCTTGGCTGATCCTCCTGAGGGTGATCGACTTCAGATTCTCAATGAAGCTTGGAAAGTTATCACTAAGTTGAAGAATCCACAGGTGGGTGACCACTTAGCCCTTTGATTAAACTGCCTTTTTTCCAAGTTATGCAGTATGCTCATTCTTTTAAAACATTTCTCTTTCAACTAATCATAATCATCCCTTTTTCTTTTTTTTTAAAGAAATCTACTTATTTTAATTGTATTTGTCAACAAATAAAGGAGAACTCATAGCTCTGAAGATGTAGTTCTTTGATTTTTGTATGCTTATTATGTCTTATTCTTGGGGCCTTAAGATGAACTAAAAGTGTGAAATTATAAATTCTTGAAGCTTTAGAAGACTTGTAACTTTGGAAAGGGCATCCAAAGTGCAGCAACCCATAGTACCCTTGACCCTTGAACAACATGGGTTTAAACTGTGCAAATCCACTTATTCATGGATTTTTTTTCGATAGTAAATATTATACTACTACACAAGCCTCAGTTGTTTGAATCCACAGAAGTGAAACCACAGATTCGGAGGAATCTCGGATACAGGGGGCTGACTATAAGTTATACACAGATTTTCAGCCACACAGAGAGTCAGTTCCCTTAACCCCCACATTGTGCAAGGGTCAACTTGTATTTGGATTTGAAAAAAACAGTTTAGTAGGATAGTCCTAACTGAACACTGGCAGTCAAGCCAGTAATTAGCAAAAGGGAATTGGAATTTCCGTCCCTTGAATGGACAGCTGAAGCCTCTTTCTCCCTGTACTTCTGGCGCAGGAAGTCTTGGGAAGACGGACCAACTGATGTTAGTTACTGTAATGCATGAAGTGATGGTCATCGTGTTGTATGTTTGGGTTTCACGCCCCACTGTCCTTTTAGGCAACATGCCAGCAAGTTATGTGGCTGCCACTAGGGAAATGGTATTGGCTGTCTTTGTGGCCAAACTTCACCACATCCTGCACCGTTCCCCTCCAGCCAGCAGCACGTCCTGATCCATTCAGGTTATTGTAACAGAATACGATGCACCAGGTGGCTTATATACAACAGAAGTTATTTTTCACAGTTCTGGAGGCTGGAAGTACAAGATCAGGGAGCCAGCAGGGTTGGATTCTGGTGAGGACCCTCTTCTGGGTTGCAGAATGCCAGCTTCTCCTCCTCACATGGCAGAAAGAAGGAGAGCAAGCTCTCTGGGGTCCCTTTTGTAGGGGCACTAATTCCGTTCATGTGGGCTCCACCCTCATGACCTAATCACCTCCTAAAGGCCCCCACCTCTTCATGTCACCATGCTGAGGGCTAAGGTTTCAACATGCATTTTGGGGGGATGCAAACATTCAGAACCATAACACAGCGAATAAGTGAATATAGGTTTGTAACATTTGATTCAATCATTTATTGAGACAGAAATATTAAAGCCAGTCCAGTTATAAACCCCGTGCTAATCACATTTATGATAGTGCATTAAAAATAGTGGTATAATTTAGAAAAAGTAGAAACTAAATTACAAAATCATGTACCTGTGTTAAATTCGGCAAAATCCTCACCTAACTCCAGCTGTTGAAATTCACTACTTAACTTCACTCTGATTGGCTAACTAAAACAGCTTATTTGGGATATTTAAGTCAACAACCTCTGGGCCCCTAATGCCTAATACCTCAAGGCTTCAAAGCAACCTTGCATCAAAAGCCCCCGTTAACGGTTTTCTCCAGTCCTTAACTTCACCCTCACCTCGTTAAGTCCATCCTAGCGTTCCAGTTAGACCGTAGCACGTTTCCGGCTTTTCTTGTGTGAATGAGGTAACCTTTTTCTCTCCTCTGCATTTCTTCTTTCTTTTCATATACTTGCAGACTCTTTTCCCTTGGCCATTTTTTTTTTCCCATTTGGGTGTTTTTGGGGCATACAGCCTTACTGAGTGGTCACTGCCATTTCCATAGCCACCCCATTATCTCTCCATGGGTCCACTTCCTACCAGAATATAACACATCATTTCTTATCTGAAACCTTTGTGCTTTCTTAGCCTTTTTACAGCATATATATACACCACCCCTTTATAGGACAGATGGTTTGTTTTTTAAAGGCAGGAGGCCTGTTTTGTCTTGGAACATTCAAAAGTCAGATTTTAAACAAAGCTTGAACCTTCAACCAGATCCGTGGTCATTGTCCCCACTGCCCCCCCCCCCATTGTCTCCATTGCCCTTTGGTTCTTTCCATTCTTCAGGAATGACAGAGCTTCCCAGATTTCTATCTTGGCCCAAGTAGCAATTCTGGAATGAAGTTTATGTTTTCTTATCTCACTTTTCAAAGCAAAATCTCTCAGTGGGCCAGAGTTTTCAGTACATGCAGTGCTCTTGAAATTCCTATCACTTACCAACCCTTAGTTGTCAAAGCCCTTGAAGGGATTTGTCCATGATGAGCTTTTGCCGTAAGGCCAACCAAGGCCTTTACAACCTTATTGTAAAGACATCTTTCCTTTTTCTTTTAGGACTACATTAATTGTGCCGAAGTGTGGGTGGAGTATACCTGCAAGCATTTCACGGTATGTGTGCTGTGGGATTGTTTTTGAAAGAATTACTGTATGTTTTTTTCATGTGCATAATCATGACTAAGCCTAGCATAGGCATTTAGGCATTTTGCAATGATAGTTTTTCTTTTTCTAAAATTGGTAATCGTTCTTAATTTATGAAAATCGCATCCTTTGTGGTATAGGATGATGGAGCATTAATATGTGTAATATAACAAAAGTGATCCACATTTATGTGTAAGTTGAGAAATGCTGCATTATAAAGTTAAGTAGGGTTTTTTTCACTGTAGTATACTTTAGATGCTTATTATTAAAGTACATTGTGACCTTCCATGGGAGTCTAGTAAGCAGCATTTCCCAAACATATGTGACTTGCAGGTAATTTTTTTTTCTAAACAAACAAGGATATTTCTTTCCCTTGGCTCAGACTAGAACCCCAGGTTGGGAAGTACTGGTCTCGTCAAAGAGCAGAGAATATAGAAGCAGGTAGAAATGGTTTCAAATCCTATTACCAGGGTGTTTATTTTAATCAACTTAAAAAAAATTGACGTTTAGCATACATGTGGAAAAGTATATATATCATAAGTTTGCTGTTTCATGAATCTTCACAAAGTACACTGTGTAATCATGGTCCAGATCAAAAAATAGTTATTAACTCCCCACGCCCACCCAACCCCGAAGCGCCCTGTCCTCCCCTCCCGGTCATGGCCCCCAGTGTTTGGAAGTTAAAGGTAAACACCGCATGGCCTCTAACTCCTGAAACCGGTTTTGCTTTATTTCAAGCACTGTGTAAATGTTGGTCTAATTTATTTTCTTTGTTTTATTGAATTTTTATTTTACTATGGAAATTTCAAACATATTGTCTCCCTTGTACTCATCACCCAGAAATGATCGACTTGTGATAAATCTGGTTTCATTTGTATTCTTACCCCTTCTCCCCACCCCAGATTATCTTGAAGCACAGCTCAGTCATCGTGTTTCACATGGTAGTATCTCAGCGCTTATACATGAAATAGAATTCCTTTTTCTGAAACAAAATCCCAATACATTATCCTAAGAAAATTATGATGTTTTAATACCATTAAAAAATCAGTAAATGTTCAGACTTCCCCAGTTGTCTCATATTTTACAGTTTATTTGTTCAGTCAGGATTAAAATAAGGTCCATACGTTGTGAAAAACTTACTAGAGTTCTTTTAATCTACTAAGTTCCCTCTCTCTCTTCCTCTGCCTCCCTCCTCCTTCCCTTCCCTTTTAAAAAAAATCTGTTATAAGATGCTCCAGTCTTCCTTGCATATTTCTTATCCCAGATTTGTAATCAGCTATTTCTCCAAGAAACTTTGGTTTCTTTTAGTGCCATTGTTAGATTTGTTTAGCTCTGTGACCCTGGCTAAGCCACTTAACTTCCCTGAGCCTCCACTTCCTCATCTGTAAAATGGGAATAATGATGTCCACGCTGGAGAGTTCAATGAGCATTAAATGAGAGAGTATGTAATGACAGCTGTGTGCCTGTAGGCTGCACAGCTTCACAGCGGCCTTGCCAGGAAACTTCACTGTTCCAGCTGTGTAGACCAAGGGTCAGCATCCTTTTTCTATAGAAGGCCACCTTTTCCTGTTTTTACGGCTCTGTGGACCGTATGATCTGTGTTACAAGTGCCCAACTCTGCCACTGTAGGATGAAAGCAACTGCAGACAGTACGAGAGTGGGCATGGCTGTGTTCTAGTAAACGTTACTTATGCACAGTGAAATTTGAATCTCACATAATTTTCCTGTCATGAAATACTTTTCTTTTGGTTTGAATGTAAAAACCATTCTTAGCTCTTGGGCTATATAAAAACAGGCACTGGGCTGGATTTGGGCTGTGGCTGGCTGACCTCTGATACAGCTGGCAAAAGTGAAGTGGGCATTGGGTCAGCGGCTTGTAAGAGTTCCTCCCCCAGTTCCTCGCTGCTCTCTGTAGCGGCTGGGGAGGGGCCTGGGACTGCGGGGGGAGAAAGCGGCATGTCGGATTTTACCAGCACTCAAGGAAAGCTGGGACAGTGTAATGCTCCAGAACCTTCGAGAATGGTGTCCTGACACGGTGCAGACAGTCATCTTCAGGGCTGTGATGGGGGTGAGATTTTCCCCTGTATTTTATTTTCAGCAGAATAGTTGAAAATGGTTCCTGGAAGGTGCGTGCTATAGTCTGAAAATGTTAGTTCTTTCCACCAAAAGAATAATTGACAACTATTATTCAGTGTCTAATGCAGGTTTAATTTGTCTTCCCCACGTAGAAGCGAGAGGTGAATACTGTTTTAGCTGATGTCATCAAGCACATGACTCCAGATCGTGCATTTGAAGACTCCTACCCTCAGGTGAAGTTGCATTTCTCATTTCCACAATGTTAGGAACTGTATTCTGTTGAATTAAATAGGTATGTTGCGTGGGTCAGGCTGTAAAGTCAGATAATCCTGGGTTTGAATTTTAGCCTTGCCATATTCTAGCCATGTGCCCTTTAATCACTTAGTCTTGTGCCTCAGTTTTCGCACCTGTAAAATGGGCGTAATAATAGTCCTACCCTCAGGGTGGTTGTGAGGATTTAAGTGAGATGAGTTATGGGAAGCCTTGGTACACTTGCTTGGCATCAATGAGTAAGCTGCCTTTGTTTTTCAATTTAGCTCACTTTTTATTTGGAAATAAATTCAAACTTGATTGGAAAGTTTAAAAAGTAGCTCAGAGGACTCCCATTGCTTTTCACCCAGATTCACCAACTGTTAACATTTTCTATGTTTGCTTTATCGTTATCATTATGTGTACACAGACAAACATATGTTCATACATATGTATGTAAATTTTTTAAAAAATCATTTGAGTATAGACTGCATACATCATGCCATTTTGTCTCTAAAGAGTTCAGTTTCCTAAGAACAAAGACATTCTTCTTTATATCCACAGTTTCGTATTCAACTTCAGGGAGTTTAACATTAATTCATTACTGTCACCTACTCCCCTGTCCTTGTTCCAGTGTTGTCAGTGGACTCGGTGTCCTTAGTAGGGGATTTTTTTCCCCTCCAATATAGAATCCAGCTCAGGATCACTTACTGTAACTTCGGACCTCATTAAGATTTTATTTTTTTCTTTAATAACATAATGTTCTGGTAGTTATTACCCATGATCAGTTGATTTCTTGCTCACTTCATATAAGAAAATTAGTTACGTAGTCTTCAAATTTTAGATTTTTATGTTTTACTAATTTAAGAATTTTTCACCATTTGCTAATTAAAATGGTTCATCATTACAGTTTATTGAGCGGCCACTGAGTCTCTGGCATGTTTCTAGCTGGGATGAAAACAATACATGGTCATGCATGGCAGCCTCCTGCTAAATATTGCAGAGTGAATAAAATGTGTAGAGAAAATGGGTCACACCCTTGTGGGTTGTGAAGGTCTTGGGCTCATTTGAAGAGTGATGTGCAGTAGAATTTTAGTTGGGGAATTTGCAGTAAGACCCCGACTGCTAGTGACCCAGTTAATTGAAAATTTTAAGTAACATAATAAATTGAATGCAGTCTAAGACAGAAGGGAACTCTTCTATACTATAATTCTGTCATGTCTAAAAACAACTTGTAAAAGATGTCCTGGAGTGAGCCTGCATTTAGGGCAGCCGCTCAGATTTGTTGGGAGTCCATTGTCTTAAGTGAGGACCACATCAAGAAAATGAAACTGCAGGGGTCTGTGAAGAATTAGCTTACTCCAGGTCTAGGATGGGGAAGGTACAAGGCGAGCCTGGAACATGTTCTTGTGCCAGGAAGTAAGGAAGTACTCAAAAAAAACTGATGCGGGCACATGAAAAGGGTGCAGGAGCAGCTTGGAAGGGGCTCTCATGGGCTCCCAATTTGAGCATCAAAAAAAAAATACAATGATAGATTATAATCCATTGAGTAAAGCAGGGATCTGGACAGGAGTCTGTCCTTACGATGGATAGATAAATAAGTAAATGAATAAGGGGGAAAGTGGACGGGGTACCTTTTGAGAAATGTGGAAGAAATGGTAGAGCTGAAAAATTACCATTGGCAACCATAGTAGTAAAGACAAGAATCATCAATCTTCAGGCAAGAATCATCAGTGGGCACTTAATCTGGGGGGAGGGACGTTTGATGTGGAGCAGGATATTTCCATATCTCAGAGAGTCTTCCCCTAGAATGAGTATGAATTGCACGGGGGAGGAGCAGTGACTCTGTGGTGGAGAATTTGGACCATCATCGACCTGCTAATCAAAAGCCGTATTTTGCATCAGAGCAAGTGGATATCATGTGCCTGCAGATATGGTACCCCGAGAAAGACAGCATCATTCATGCAGCTTTCCAGTCGAGAATGCATGACCAAATCTAATCATGAGGAAACATTAGTCATGCCCAAACTGTGGAGCATTCTATAAAGCAATTGGCTTGTATTCTTCAAAAATACCATTGTCCTCAATGACAAAGAAGCCAAAGGAACTGTTCCAAATTAACGCAGACTACACAGACGTGAAAACAAAATGCAGTGCGTGATCCTGAACTGGATCTTGTACTGAAGAGAGGAAAAAATAATGCTGTAAGGAATGTATGGAGACAGTTGACAAGGTTGCAGTACAAATGGTAAAGTGTTACAATTCCATCAGTGTTAACGTCCCTGAATCTGATAACAGCAGAGTGGAAATGTCAGAGGATATGATTTTCTTACAAAATACAAATGAAGTATTATGGGGTGAGGGACATGATACATGCAGTCTACTTCCATGTGGTTCAGGAAAAATCTGTCTTGTGTAGAGAGAACGATAAAATGAATTTGGCAAAATATTAAAAATTGGTGAGTTTGGGAAAAGAGAATATGGGAGTTTGGGGTTCTATTCTTTCAACTTTTCTGCAAGTTTGAAATTATTTCACAATAAAAATTTTTTTAAAAGTGTGGGAATTACGTGTTTATCAATTCTACCATTGGATGGATGGATAGGTGAGGAGATGGAGCAAATATAGCAAGACATTGGTCCTTGCAGAATCTAAGTGGTGAGTAAATGGGTGTTTGTTCTAAATTCTTTAAATTTCCTTTGTTTCATTATTTTCATAAGGAAATGTTGAAGAGGAAAAAAAAGCCTATCTTTTAAAATCAGGAAATGCATTATATGTATTCAAGTATATCGGTATTTAAATATTGAAGAAAAAAATGTCTTGTTCTAAAGAGGTTAGTTGTTACGGATAAGATTTTGAGAACTGTTTTAACCAGACAGGACTGCAGTATCTTTGAATGCTCTGTCTCGGAGCTCTGTTTGTCGTGAAGTTTTGAAGTCCTTGAGTATGCCTTTTGCTTGATGACCTGGTGAGCTGCTTAAGTATGAAATGGGGCTTGTACCTGTTAATAGTCTATATTTTTGACCATGAGCCATTTCCTTTGCAGATGCTTTAAACAGCAGTGTTTTTAGTGTAAACAAAGTACTTAGTAAATTTTTCCTTCTTGACAGCAACCAAGGATAGGGGTTTATATTTTAGTTAGAAACAGCGCCTCCCTGGTTCTTCAATGCCAAGGCCCTGTCACTAGGACTCTGCACATCTCAGGGTGAGAGCTGGTGGACATCAGTGCCTGGGCATCTGGGACAGACCTCACAGATGTGCCACCGTCCTTGGATAGTGCCGTGGCCTTTGACCTCCCCGGCAAACTCGGTCCAGAGCCTCTCCACTGAAGTAGTCAAGAAATGCAGGATCACAATGGGCTGGAATAGGGATGTGTAAACTAAGGCCTGTGTTGCCCACGACCTATGGTTGTGAATAAAGTTTTATTGGAACCCAGCCACACCCATTTGTTTACATATTGTCAATGGCGCCATTCCACCTACAATAGCAAAGTTGAGTAGTTGTGTTTGACTGTGTGGCCGGCCGTTTGGAGAAAAAGTTTGCCCATTCCTTGAATGTTCAAAGCTGACTTACAGGGAGAGCTTTGAAGGGCAGGCAGTGCTCTAAGCGCTTTAGGTGAACCATGAGTGAGATACTGCTTTGCTCTCCATTTCACAGAAGAGGAGATTAAAGCTGAGAAGTTATTTCCCCGAGACTGCAGGTAGGATGGGCAAGCTCAGATTGAGGCAAAGCCCAGCCTAACCCAGTCATTGCCTGTTCCTTGTGCAATCCAAGTTTCCCTTATTGGAATTGTGATTGCCAGCTGTGAGAAAGGGTTGCCTTTTAAAAAATGTCCACATTTTATTAAAGACGTGTTTTTCGTTTTGCTTTGCAGCTTCAGTCAATAATTAAGAAAGTGATTGCACACTTCCATGATTTCTCAGTTCTCTTCTCAGTGGTAAGTAACGTTCCTTAATTATCTTTGGAAATTTGTATCTGAGTCAGAGGTTTCTTTAGTGTCTCCATAATTTTTTCATGGTATCCTAGGCCAAAAGAAATATTTAATGGTTCCTTTTTTTATTAAAAAAAAAACATAGTCAGGTCTAAACAACTTCAATGTCTATATCATAACAACTTACACAGCGTTTGAGAAAATAATATGCATAGAATGAAAGGAAAATATTGTCTCTGTTTCATTCATTACTTACTATGGGATGTGTGTGCCTGCTAGGTATCATACAGCTTCTCAAACCTTGGAATCAAACTGGACATCCTCTAACTCATTGACTTTCAAATGGCACCTGCTTTTTATCACACAATCTAATATTGAAACTATGAAACACATGGAGCTAATAGTTGTCTCAGTGTCTGACAGAGTCGAGATGTATTATATTTCCCTCAAAAATTTAAAATGCCCTGTGCCCTTCTTTTTTGCTGCAGGGCCCTGGGCGGGTACAGATCGAGGTGACTGTCCCTGTAGTAACACTCTGTGCCCCTTCCTTCAGCTTCCCTGGCACCCCTCCCTCTTCCTGTTTCCATTTATCTACACCCCCAGGACTGTGAGTCTTTGTTTACTTCATAACAGAAGCTGTAATTTGCTGGACTTTTGCCACACTCCAGGCACTGTGCTAGAGTTTACGTGCACTGCCTCATATCATTTTCAGAACACCACCGGGAAGGGAGAGTAGTAATGATGCCCACTTTACAGGTGAGAAAACTGGAACGGGTGGAGCAACTCACTTAAGGTCACACGGTCACTCAGCATGGAGTCAGGATGCAGAAGTCTCTCTCTGTACGACTCTGACTCTTCTGTCTCTGTCCCTCTGTACAGTCGTAAAAAGACTAAAGCCTCACCTGCCCTCTGCTACCAGGAAGAGCTTATGGTCATCTAAAGATGATTCTCCAGAATGTTAACTGGTCCCAGCCCTGATCCCCGGGCACACGTAAATTGTTTTAATAGTAATAGTTTTTTTTAAAAAAAACCTCAGAATCCTCTCCTTGCTTTCACGTGAGTCCTGATCGGACCTACCTAAAAAAGATGAACAACACTTTCTCTCTTTTGACCTTCCAAGAAAAAGTGACCTACGGATTCCTTCCAATAATGTGTGTAAACTGCATATAGAGTGCCTTTTTTTTTCCTTTTTAGGAAAAATTTCTGCCATTTCTGGACATGTTCCAAAAAGAGAGTGTGCGGGTGGAGGTTTGCAAATGCATCATGGAAGTTTTTATCAAGTAGGTGCAACAGAAAGTAATCAGAGGCTTCGATTCCTGCTGCCCCCGGGAAACCAGTTGATAAGAAATCGATATGTGCACTTTGATGCTTAGTGATGTGTCCGTACTTATACGTAAAATAACGTTGGGAGGAAAACCACATTAAAAGGAGCAGTCTGATGAAAGTTTATAATCAGTGCTAAAGGAGACAAAGTAACAGGTATTAACAGGAGCCTGGCCATCACCCACATTTCACTCCAGTGTGTTTTGGGAAGGAGCAATTTATTGATGTACTATTTAGAGAGTAACATTTTAAAAGATAAAGTCATACTTGTCAAGATAGCAGAGCTAGAAAGTTTTCCATCTGTATATAGATTTGTGATCAGCCTTCAGTTCAGTTCATTTTCTTTTCTTTTTTTTTTTAACTAGATATTAGAAATTTACCCCCAAACTACAACTCTCAGATAGTGGTTTTTTTGAGGGAGATGTAATTTGGTTTACTCTTTAATTTATTTTTAGAGGAGGTTTTGGGGATTGAACCCAGAACCTCATGCATGCTAAGCATGTGCTCCAGCGCTTGACCTGTATCCTCACTCCCCACCTTTCTTTGTATTGGTTAAATCTGCCTCCTAATGGTGGTACATGAAATACTTTTAGGTCATATATGGAGGAGAGATTTTAATTTTTATTTTAGAAGTTGTATATTTATTTTAAAATATATTAGATAGTATATAACTCATTTAATCAGTGACTCCAAATACATTATTCTTTAGGACAAGGTTAAGTTGAAAGTTAAAGTCACTTTAAATATTAAGTATGTAGATATGGTAAAAAAAAATATGTTAAGATGGAACTCAAATAACCAAAGTTTGGAAATGAAGTTAGATGTTGCTTGAATATATGTTTTAAGCTTTCCTTGTATTGTCTTTCTAAAAGATTAAATCTAGATGCTTGGAACGAATATACCTACCTACTTTACATAAGGATTTGTTACAAGAATTTGTCCTTTCATATTATTTGAAAACCAAATTAATAATTTTTGCCTAGCACTTAACACAGTTGTAGATAGGTTGTGGACAGCTTCAAGGGTTAAGAAAACAAGATTCGCCCTTTGCCTGGCTTAGGAAATGTAGCAGTTTTACCATGGTTTCGCAGTTAGGTGAAATTATGGGTTGGAAGAGCAACCCTGTTATTTAAAGAAGAATTAAAAGCAAGCCAGAATATTGCCCATTGCTGGTGAGCTGGGCCGTGTTAAATGCCAACCAGATAATTTGCTGCTTCTCGAATATGTACGGTAGGTGAGCACTAAATCCATGCTTTCACTGCTCTCAGCGTACAAGGCTTTCACCGTTATGCCTAAATGTCTCCTAGGCATCAGCAGGAGCCCACCAAGGACCCTGTCATTCTGAACGCCCTTCTGCACGTTTGTAAGACCATGCATGACTCTGTGAAGTAAGTCACGCTCAAGGCTGAAATGATCCTGGATTGGGTCTTAAGGCCACGTAATAGTGCATTAGGGAATTACTGCTTTAAGCTACCCCTGTGAATAATATTATTTTATGGGGTCCACTAAGATTCTTGCTAACGAGTACATTCCAGTCCAGGAGAGGAGGGAGGCTGAGCTGAGGGTAACCTTCCTGAGAAAATGAGATGACAGATGTTTTTACAAATGGATTTTTTTTTCTGTTCAATGAATATTTATTTATTTTTAAAATTGAAGTATATTTGATTTACAACGTTGTGTTAGTTTCTGTGTTAGTGCAGCATAGTGATTCAGTTATGCACACACACATATATATTCCTTGTCTTACTCTTTTTCGTTATAGGTTATTACAAGATATTGGATATAGTTCCCTGTGCGGGGCAGTAGGACCTTGTTGTTTCACAGAGGAATTTTTGTTGGGAGGAAAATGCTGGTTTCGTCCAAGTGAACTCAAACTCCGTGACTCCTGGAGGTTTCTGAGAGCAACAGATACAATAATAATGAGTTCACTCACCCAGTAACATAGCCTTTAAATTTTTTCTCAATATTAGCCAATTATTTGAAATTTAAATTGAATTGCTCGTATTTCTTACACGAAGGACCGAACAAGTTAAGTTCAGTATACTTGAGGCTCAGACCTAGCCACAGGCTTCGCCTTTGGGTCAAAGGCCAGATTATCTCCTTCGCTTTCTAGTTTCATTTATTCATCTTTTTATTATTAGTATTATGACATGTTTCCATCTGACTGTGCTTGAGGCAGTTCCTGCTTATTTTGTGGCTGAACTTTTGGTCCCCAAGGAATTTTTAACACAGCAGCTTGATTCACTGGAAAATGTTACAAGAATTGAGAAAATTCTTTTGGAACTGAACCATCAACAAGATGAATTGTATTTCTTTTGTTTTTTTTTT